AGTCTTATACACTTCAATTGTTTAAAGATATTGATTTATAAAGAAAACAAATATGTTCCTAATTCTTAGTATGTTAATTTTTGTGTAGGATAGTCCACTGGTATAGTGTACATAGGAATTGACTTCAAATCTACTTAAAGTAAAGGTATATTTAAAGTATAAAATTAATATCTAAATAGGAATCTAGTAGTATAAAGTGCAAAAATAGTAAAAAAAGTAAGTTATGATCACTTAAAGAAAACTTACAACTATACGTGCAGTATAAAACTACTAAACTAGTAGTTTACTGAGAGTATACTTCAAAGTGTTACTTGCTATAACTATCATACCTATAAGATTACTTAGTGTAGTTACAGTACAAACGTAGTTCCAAGTTTACTGTTACACTTAAACTATACTTAAAAGTATGCTTTTATACACTAAAAAGGGGGCAAATTTAGTCCCAAGTTGTATTGAAATAGTACACTTACTAGTGCATTGATATTAGTATACTATACATAAAGTACACCTAAAAATATACTTAAACTTTACTTAAGTATAGTTAATAAAATTAAATTTTTTGTAAGGGGAATCTTTAACATCCATGGAAACTTCCTATTCTACAAAATGTTCTTTATAGTGGAAAAATATTATTTTCATTATTAAATTTTTTTTTGGTTACATGAATTTAACTATAATTTCGAAATAGAATTTAAGACAGCAGAATAAAATAGAAAGTGTAGTTTTGTGGTGCTTAATTGTTTTGAGAGTATTTACTGTAACTACATATCAGGAAATGGGCAAAATGAGTCACAATTAATAATGCAATTATGTGTTTTTGTGTAAGTAAGAAAATTCCTGTTGTATGACTGTGCTAAACTTCTCTGAATTGCAATTCGTTAAATCCATCTTCCTGTCACACCACTTGGGCAAATGATTGTGATCAATTCAATGCAAATCAATTCAATTCAAATTCCTATTTGAAAACTGAAAGGCGCTTTCTAACTCTAAAATGTGCTTAACTTGATCGACAGTCACTGAAACATGCATGAAGCTGCCGATCAAATGCACAAACACACAGAACTGTCACATCTGAACCTGTGAATATCTTAATGACCACCTCGGTTTCCAAGCAAATGTGCAACAACAAACCAACCACCCACGTTCAGAAAGAGTCACCGCCGTCTTTTGACGAGGAACATGATATGTCATTTAGTTTGCTTTCACTTAGGTGACCGAGCAAAAACAATCAGCCTCTGGTGGGAGCGTCTTCGCTTCGGATGCTCTATTGTGCATTGTGCTCATTTTTAGGCATCATCGGTTCAGTAAATCTATTCGTCGATGTGGGAGGAATTACAGCGACTAATCAATTAAACGTTTTGTGTGACCTCAGCCAGTCTGAGTGAGCCCAGGCCTGAATAAACCAGAGATCTGTGCGAGCTTTAAAAGCTATAAACAAAAACGTCAAGCACCCATGACCATTAAGCTCACCTTTATTGACTTCGGTAAATGATGTAATGGCTCCTCAAACAGATGTGCAAGCGGAGATAATGTCAGCAGGACCTTTACCCTGCAGGGGTGAATTGGCATTATAATGTGAATCATGAGCAAAAAGCCTGAGTGCCAGCTAAAGGCTTTTATTCCCCACGTGTAATGATGATGATGGGTTTCTGTGAATGATAAGTGTGTTTGTTTCGTATTGTGATCGTCGGGTAGCAGAAGGACAGACCAGAGTAACAACAGGGACGTTTGTGTCGCTTGTTTGCCAGATGGAAAGCTAAAAGTTTCGATTTGTGATTGATGGAGGACTCTCACTCGGGTCATTGCTGTTGTTTGAAAAGGTGGTCACGTTTGCCTAGAACTTTGTAAATGTTTTCCAAAGGAATATAAAAAGAATAGAACATGTGACATATCTGATTATCATTCCAAATATTGTCAGTCAACTAGTAAAAAAACATGCAATATAAGTTGCAAAACCAGACAAATATGGAAAGTATTATAGCACTGATTCTTGAATACTAGTGTAACGTAGGCAAGCTTAAGCTGCGTTCACACTACACGCGACCAAGCGACACGATACCATTCATTTTCAATGGTGAGCGGGGACTTCCGGCGACACGCGCGGTCGCGACCGTTGGCGACTGGATGGGGCGTGTCTGGCGACGCGACAAAGTTGAGATCTGTTTAACTTTATCCAAATGCAGAGCGACTTTCGGGAGCGACAACCAATAGGAGTGAAGTCAGTGGAGCACGTCACTCTTCAAGCCCCGTTCACACTACACGCGACTTTGTCGCTGCAAGTCGCCAGGCGCTGGCGATGAGGTCGCTAGTGGGCGTTCCCACTACTGGTTGACTAGTATGACATCCAAAAGACAGCGAATCAGCTTTCTTGCCATCCATCACTGCAGGCCCAGGGGCTGAGGAGAAGGATCACGTGCGCTTCACTCCTATTGGTTGTCGCTCGCGAAAATCACTCTTCATTTGCATAAAGTTAAAAATTTCTCAACTTTGTCGCGTCGCTAGACACGCCCCATCTAGTCGCCAACGGTCGCTGTCGCGCTTGTCGCCGGAAGTCGCCCGCTCACCATTGAAATGAATGGTATCGCGTCGCTTGGTCGTGTGTAGTGTGAACGGGGCTTCAGTGCTGAGTCTGACCGAGGCAAGTTGAACGAGAAGCTCATTTTAGCAGTCAAAAAACTGTCCTATTATTTATGATATATCTCCGTGTACATACAGTGGTATTCACTGACTCCGTGCCTGAATGGTTTCGGGAACCCAGATAGCAGACTGATCTCATGAAATGGCGTATGTATGACACGCCAATTCGTATTTCCATTTTTGGCGTGCTATCAACACGCATAATCGCTTTTCAGCGTGTTTATCAACGCCGTTGACTTAAAGTTACATTACTGTATATATATAAATATATGACCTACCCCAACCCCGTCCCTAAACCTACCCGTCACTGGGGTTAATACCATTTATGAGTCTTCCCCTACCATCCTAGGAAAAAAAATATTGCTCCACAGATGTAGATATGAATTTTGCTTCGTTTCGCTCGGACATTTAACGGCGTACACATACATTGGAATCACTCGGACGTTTAACGGCGTACACATACATTGGAATCACTCGGACGTTTAACGGCGTACACATACACGGAAAAGATGACGGTTCGTTTCGGCGTGGACATACACGCGGATAGCTCAAAATGCGTATAGATAACACGCCACTTGACTTGAAAGTGGCGTGTATGTTTACGCAAAGTCATGATGTCAAGATAGACCGGTAGACAGTAGACTTTTGCTTCCAAAATATTTGTTTGTAGCGGCAAGAAAACGTATTTGATGTCTAACATAGAGTAACATCCGTGAATGTCACTCACAAACATTACTAGGCAACCAGTAGTGGGAACGCCCTCCAGCGCAGCCACTGGCGACCTGCAGCGACAAAGACGCTTGTAGTGTGAACGCAGCTTAAGAGCTGTGAGTGAAAACCTCACTCGCCTGGCAAGACCCCGGTTTGAATCCCGCTCGGAGCAGGTCCAGTAGGACCGGATACATTTGGTGCCGTGACCCAGATGGGAGTGCGGTTTAAGGGGGTGAGTGTAACAGAGGTAAGCTAGGAAGAGCTGAGTGTGTAAACCTCACTCCCCTGGCCTCAAGTGATGAACTAGAGGGTGTCCTTGTCCCTCTCCCACGCCGGAGACCCCTGTTCAACTCCGGCTCGGAGCGGGTCGAGAACGACTGGTTACACTAGGATATCATGCTCTTAAAAATAAAGGTTTGAGGGTTTTCGCAGCAATATAAGAACCATTTTTTGGTTTTAACTTTCAGTGAACATTCTTACAATATTTTTTATTTTTCTTAGGGCCAGATTTATTAAACAGGGCAAATTATCGTGAGAGCGCAATTCCATGAAAGCGCCGATGGGAGTGTAAAGTTCTGCGCGTGATCCACTGATGACATGCAAATTAAAGAAGACAGACACAGCCGGATAATTTTCATAATGACCAACTCAAACTCAAACAGAGAATCTACTAGGAGCAGCACAAATTACCGTCTGTTTTTTTTTGGGCGTTAAATAATGGCGCAAATACCAGTAAATTGACTAGCGCAAACCTTAGTAAATCACCTTGCATGATTCATTTAAACACCCTCCTCCCAAATATTTTGCATATGAAAGGGAAACTTCAACAAATGCATAATGCAATAAGGTCAGCCACAAAAACAACCCTGTCCACACCCTTTCAGCGCTAATTTTTCTCTGTGTGTCTTTAGTAAATCCAGACACTAACGCCAAAAGAGGGTTTGCGCTGGTGCAAGCTGTTAGTAAATCTGGCCCTTAGTGATATGAACATTTAAAAAATCTAAAGGACCTTTTCCCAAAGAACCTTTAGAGGAATGGAAAGATTCCATGGATGTTAAAGGTTCTTCATGAACCATCAATGCCACTGTGTTAGCACTGATTATTTTATTAGGCTATTTTGTTTAACTTGCTCAGAGCTGTTCACCTATGATTGCATGCAATAAATGAATGAATTGAGACCACAGGATGGTTTCAGACTGATTTTTACCTCCATCCATTGAATTGTCACCACAGACGGACTAAAAAAATGGTGCAACCATATTTGACCATTTGTTGTATTATGTTTGCTCTTGAATCAGTAATGAAAGTTCACCAGAATACAAACCCAATCTGCTTGTCTTTAATAGCCCACACCTAGACATTAAATATTAATATAACATACACTCTATTTAAAAAGCCAAAATATAAATGTTGACAAAGTCTCATAGACGCATTTTAAGTCATTTAAAGCCTTCACTAGCACCAATGACCAAAAGCACTCAAAGAACATTTGCACTTATTTGCGTGGCACTCATATTTATACAGAAACGCAAATAAGAGCGCTTTAGTTTACAAGCTTATAACGGGAGCGTTCGGGTTCAGACGAGTCGCGTCGCGTCATTCTCAGTGGTGACGGTGTGTGTTGATAAAGCTGATAAAGATAAAACTCTTACCCTTTCAGCTGAGAGAATCTAAGATCCCGTTCTTCAGTTCGCCGATAATTCCTCCCGTTTCCCAAACTCCTGAGGTAAACTCTTCTTCAAGACTCCATCTCAATCTGTTTACTCACAAAAGTGAACTTTGCTCCAAACACGATGTGAATTGGGTAGCCAAGGCGACCTTGCTGACACAGACAAAAATGTAAAAACAAAATTTAAAAGTGAGGACAAAAGGCTAGAACGATGCAACAGGTGCGCTCGAGCGCGAGTGACAGGTGATTCTCGCTCGTAACTCTACCTGCAGCGCGAGAGGGGGGCGGAGCCTGCGTATGAACGCATGCACATTTAATGCAGTCTTACTGGAACATACACAAAACATCTCAGTCATGGAGTATTTATAGAGCTTCACCCTGTAGCTTTTAAAAAATAATAATTTAATAGCCATTTTTTCTATTGTACACATTATGAACGGAATGTTAACATAAAATGTACTCACTTCTCTTCTATAAAATGATGCTTTTTGGGGAACGCCTTGAGGCAACAACACCCCGCTAATAATAATAAAAAAAAACTAATTTTGCATTGAGATTGAATGACTATCCATTATTTACTGACATCACAAAAATTTTAAACAGCAAAGACTATTAGAGGCAAACAATATTTAATAGTGAACTGAAATTAAATAATTTTATATGACTAATACTTGGTACTGAATTAAAAAACAGTGGGAAAATTTGATAGAAGGTGCTGCATCTTGTTTCACACAATGCGTTTATGTAATTCCTCATAAAAGTAATTTATTTGACAGCAAATGTTTTAAAATGAAGTTTACTTAAGGAATGAGAATCAAATTTTCTGCTTTTCTCCAAAGCAAAACCATGTAAAATAAAACAAAGATTACTGGAGTGTGTTTTATAAGAAAATACAATTTCAGTATTTATACTTCAAAATTTTAAACGTGTTACTGTAAAATAAAAAAGTTGCTGCCTTACATTTTTAAGTACAATCAACTTGAATGTTTAAATCATTTCAACTTAAATTACATTGAACTGACTTTTAAAAACATTAGTTGATTCTTGTATAACATAAACAAGATGAAAATTGCTTTAACTTATTTTGATGACATATGTTGTCATAACTTGTTAATCATATTTTTTTTACTGTGTACATGCAATTAGCTGACTGAACATTCCTGGGTGAAATCACAACAACCTCTGCATTTATAACAGAACATGCATGGCATCCTGTGAATTTTGTTTAGGAGTGTAAGCAAATTCCTGGTCCTGGTCCAGTTCTGTAACCTTGTATGATCAAGGAGAGGCATCTTCAAAGAACGGTGTGAAAGAAGAGCAACGGGCTGGAACATTGCACAGGTTTGGATGTCACTAGGAGCACAACTCGCCCTGCAAACACACTTTTCTCTATGATGAGTGTAAAATCAGGATGGGTTTTATTTAAGAATAAAAATGTCACAATTTACTCACCCTCACATTGTTACACCCGTAAAAGTGTAAACCCGTAAAATGTTCTTCTGTGGAATGAAAGTGGATGGGGACCAGCTGTCAAGAATATTCTATATAAAAAAAGAATATGCACTATAAATCATCTGAAGTCATACAACAGCTTAGAAATAGACCAATTATGTTATTTAATAATATCTTGCATTACTTGACAGCTGTGGTCACAGTGAAAAGAGCAGCTTGGATGATGAACAACTCCTTTTTGTTCTATGGAGAAAAAAAACAGACATTAAAAAGTAAGGGGAAATTTATGACAAACTAAACAGAAAGACTTGACACACACACACACACTGAACGGCAACATGCACACAGACCAGTGGAGTGTTTGATTTTGAGAACCTTGAGTTTTGGTTTATAATTAACATCAGAGGACAGAACTATGACACATGAAACACTCACTTTCTCAGGATTACCTTGACTACTGAAAGAAGCAAGTTCTGTTAAACATTAGTCATTAAACTGCACAAAAGAATGACTTCTCAAAGGGTGATAAATTCAGTTCAGGTTTGGTGGAACTGGGAATTCAAGGAAAGCAGTGATTTGCCTGTGGCTTTGAATGTACAGTTTGCAAAGTTGACTGTAGGGCACTGCCTTGATTTCACACACACACACAGGGAAAACATTTTAGTATGATAAAGAAGAGATTTAAACCAATAAAGCTTTCACAGTAAAACACGAGTGCACACGATAGGTCTAAACCAAATCTGAACATATTACATGTTACAGTAAATAGACGCCCTCTACTGGAGAAACTAACAAGTGCCAAAAACACTGACGGCTACAGAAGTTTGGCCACATGAAACAAGTATTTACAGCAACAACTCATACTAATAATAAAAGGTTTTCCCTTCAGCAAAACTTTTTCTTTTTTGTTGACTATGATATATAAGAAAAATGTATGTAATTTTAAAATATCCTTTTGTAAAACCAGTCAAAACATCGGAAACACCTGGATAATGCATAGTTATGTGTATATATTCAGCATTTTTAATATAATATAGGGCTTATATAATATCATATTTGCCTTATCTCAATGTTCTGAAAGATTTTTGGTCCTAAAAAACATGTTTTATTTTAAAAACATACATTTTCAACATTATATTTTATTGATGGGGCTGAACGGGAATCATACAGTTTTGAGACGCTCAAAGCCGCTGAGTGTTTGTGTCCGATGACGTCATACGCGCGTTCGAATAGAACTTTCGTGGATTATAAGCGCGTCACAGTCTTACACACTTTGTGGGTTTGTTGTAGTGGTCGAGAGTGACAGTGGTTTTTCACAGCGATGGGACAGCGAGGTTGTAAAGTGAGTCCGATGATTGGCGAGGTGTGCGATCAACATCAAAGCACACCCCCAAAACCCAGCACCAACACGGCGGTTCAACATCCTCAGCCTCGCGATGAGACTGAGACCCCTGTTGATGCTGCTGGTGTGGGAAAGAGCCAAGAGAGGAGGGTGATATTAGTGAGAGGAGGAGGAGAGGAAGAAAGTGAGGTGGAGGAGTTGAGGAGGTTGATGGAGAGAGGAGATGAGGAGGAGGAGAGGAGTGTGATTGAGAGAGGAGAGGAAGAAATTGATGAGGAGTTGAGGAGGTTGATGGACAGAGTAGGAGAAGGAGGAGGCGATGAGGAGGAGAGGAAGGAGTCAGGGAGAGTGCTGAAGAGAAAGAGGAAGTGGTGGAGGAGGCTGGTCTCTTTCCTCAGAGCTGACAGAAAACAGGCTCCAGAGATCAGCTCAGGTCAGGGAGAGGAGGAGCAGAGGGATGAGGGAGAGAAGAGGAAGGTAGCATGGGCAGGAAGAAGTAGTGATGGTAAATTACACCAGACCATCTTATGAGAATATAAATGACTAGATCTCTGTTTTGACCTCATAAAAACTTATACTGTATCACACACAATATCAAATACACGTCAGTACAAATCATACCAAAATCCACATCAATGCCATGAGATCTTTATTATATGATACAACATTACATATGTCTATATGTACTGATGTTAAAACTGTAAATATTCAATATAGTCTCTGCTAATTATTTAAAATACATTAAAATGAATAACTATATGAATAAAATTTTGCATATCTCAAGACACTCCTCTCAGTTTGAAACATCATGTTATTTTGTCTTTTAATAGACTACATCTTCAGTCACTATACTATTGGTGATCAGCTGGGGAAAGGTGGTTTTGGTGTGGTGTACGAAGGGAGACGTCTGGAGGATGATCTTAAAGTAAGTCAAAATAAATCAAACATGATCTAGATTGTGACTCAATCTCATCCTTTGAAAGTGTATTTTATGGCTTCTACACACAAATGAATTGTTTGTTTTGTTCATCAGGTGGCCGTGAAATACGTCACAAAGACGAAAGACGCTAAATGTATATTCATTGTAAGTAGGCTGCACAATATAAAACATCTCATATTAAAATTAACCACAGACAGATATTTGATTGTTTTTTCAACTAACAAACTGGTCCAAGACTGAGCTAAATCTTTATTTGCAAACCAAATTCTTCTAGCCTGATCATCCAAAGCCCCTTCCTAAAGAGATCGCCCTCACCATCCTGGCGAGTAAAGGTCCCAGCGTGCCGGGGATCATCCGGCTGCTGGACTGGCAGGACCACCCTGACCACTTCGTCATGGTCCTCGAATGTCCCTCTCCCTGTGAGGATCTGGCCCGGTTCATGAGGCGTCACGGTGGAAGACTGGATGAGGAGAAGGTCCGGCACATCATGAGGCAGACGGCTCACGCTGCCAACATGTGCTGCGATCGCAGAGTCCTCCACCGTGACATCAAACTGGAAAATCTCCTGATTAACAGCGAGACATCTGAAGTCAAGCTGATAGACTTCGGGTGTGGGGACATTCTGAGGAGTTCGGCGTACAGGTCATACTCCGGTATGTGTTGTAACTCAAAGCTGCACTCAAAGATGTGGTAATGCATTGCAAATTTACACATCAGACAAAACCTCTTTCCTCAGGCACATCAGCGTACTGTCCTCCCGAGTACCATGCCAAGGGGAAGTACTACGGCAGGCAGGCGACGGCATGGTCACTAGGGATTCTGATGTTCGTGATGTTGTGTGGACATTTCCCTAGTGACTATGACCTGATGCTGCTGAAACAGAAGCTCTGGTCCAAACCCAACCTGTCAACAGGTGAGATCTAGAATTAATAATTCACTATCATACAAAACATGATGTAAAGTTTAAGGTAATAATCAGACGTCTTCCTGCACAGAATGCTGTCGCCTCCTCAGGTCTCTGCTAAAGGACAAGCCAAGCCGGAGACTTAGTCTGGGGAGAATCCTGTCCCACAACTGGTTTAAGGTAGTGAACCTAAGAATTATTTATTATCTCATAGGAAGAATTTGCCAAGTTAAATGTGTTCTTTTTTCAGGTCGTCACATAAGGCCACTTCAGTCGACGTCTCTCGTGCAGCTTGGCGTCTTGAAAGCTGCAATGGGAGACGCATCATCCCTCCTCTCGCCTTTGTGTCTTGCGCCGTGGCTTGAGGGAGCAGTATTTGTGTCTGGCGGTACTGCTTCCGGAGGGATATGTACATATTGTATACTGTATATGTACATACTTCTTTTGGTTTTTCCCATCATTGCCACTCCATTCCTGAAGTTCCTGCCACAGCCGTCCAAATTTGCTTGTCCTTTTGACTTTGTACCTCATTGTGATGAAGCCACCAGATGCTGCTCGCTCACGGATCTTCGAGTAATGGAGAGAACATGATATCAAATAACTTGTTCTATTCCTTTAAACCTATTTATAATGTAAAATCTTTTAGTAAAAGATGTAAAATATTCCGCATCATCATTGATTTGTCTTGATTATATGTCATCAAGTTTTCAACTTAAATAATAAATGCAGCATTTTTCTAAATTAAGTGAAATGTGAGTTTTTTTTTATAAAATGTAACTTTTATAACACTCAATTGTTTAGTAAACATATGTACTGTAGTAACTTTTCTCTTTTCTGTTTGTCACACTAAAGTAAACTGTGTCACATGATCGACACTATGAACAAAGCATAAGACAAGTTTATGTTTAAATTTAAGTCCTCTTCATTTTCTTTTGTCTAACAAACAAAAAAAGTGCAAAAGACAAAAGTAATGCATTCTTAATATTTGAACAATTGTTTATAAACAGTACTACTACAGGCTTCTTACACATTAAACGTGCAGTTGCTAACTTTGTTTCAAACAAAAGATTTTCTGACAAATCTGTTTTTAAATGACAGGTAAGTAAGTGACCTATAAAAAGCCGTTCAACTCTACATCGGGTTTTGTTTAAAAACAACATCAGTTGCCAGGTTTTTTTTTATTTTTATGAAAATGCTAAAATGCTATGACAGATTACAAATTGTAATCAAACTTACAGAGAAGGAACAGTAGTCGGTTGCATAGCAATGAAAATCTCCGGCAGCCTGTCAGCTGTAGCCACAGTCAGGAGTAAACACTAGAAAAGAAAACAAGACACACAATCAACACCACAGACACTTGCTCAATATAAAGCACACTTAATAGTGTGCATACACCTCATGAGAAACCAGGCTAAAGCACATACAAGACATAATGCTTATGACTTAATGGTTATTTCACTTCAGTATCAAATTGTCTCAGATGTTTCTCAATACAATAAGGATAAATAAAACCAGATCACACACAGTAAGAGTATACAGCAAACTGGATAGCAGCTCAGATTGAGTTTTGGAAGAATTTCATGAGACGGTTTGAGATATCTGACTTTTGCGAGCAGACTTTAAGAAACGTGAGATTGCGCTGTCTGACTTTTAAGAGCCTAATGTTTCTAATGTCGTCCGCCTCTTTTGTTTCCCGTGTTTTTCTCGTAAATGAAACTCGGCTCATTTTCTGAAGGCCAGTCTCTGAGTTTGAATTATTAAAGTGTGGTTCATTCAGGAGGCCGTTCACTGTAACTGCAGCTCTGCGTGGGTCGACACATTTACTTTGCTTTGTCCCCACGTTCATTTTACGTTTCTTTTGTTCTGACAATGATGTTACAGTCTGGGTTAGTCTGACAGCCAAGTCATAGACATAAAACATATATATAATACAACTTACAGGCTTTGTTCCAAAACCTAGCAAGTTGCCTACATAGGTAGAACGTAAAAATAAATGCTCTACAAAGACACGCAGTACACAACAACTCGCAGTGCTCATTACATAAAGAGACTTAAAGATCCAATAGACTTTTCTGTTGAGATAATCACATTATACTCTACTACAGGAAGGTGAAAATAATCTCAAATTAACATTTCACATTAAGTCTTTCTTGTGTAAAACAGTGTAATATAATTTATATACCGAAATGGAAATATCCATGTGCAGGGCTCGACATTAAGCCTTGTCATGTGCCTGTCCTTAAGAAAAAGTAAATCAGTTATTCACTTGTCCGAGTACAAAAAAGTTACTTGTTCGGAAAGAAATAGGATTTTCGTGTTGAAAATACATTTTATTATGAAGTATATGAGTTTTGACATATTTAAATCTTCATATTTGTGTTATTTACGGGGTTTTTTTCATTTATAGAAAGCCCTTTTTTCCTGATCATTTTAAATGTATCCTTCCTCTTAAATTTAATTATTTTAATTTGATCAATAAATTTCATTAGAATAATAAGACATTAATAATCAAATTAAATAATTTTCACTGAAAAATTACAAATGCATTAAATAATATTATGAGATTGTATAGGTCTTTGAATCTTTGACTCAACCGATGCGTTCAAAACGCTGAATTATTTAGTAATGAAAACAGCACTCTTGGTCGTGTGATGTTGCTTACCTGTATAATATGTTATAAATATAAAAACTCCACATTAAATATTTTTTCCGCAGTATGTTAACTAAGTTTCTTTGTGTGTGCTGCGCTCATTTGTTTAGATTTCTCCTCAAAGAGAAATCTAAACAAGCCTCAACAGCACAACCTTGTTAACATCAGTACATTATACATTATATATTATTATCCAGCATCAATCGCCACTTACATTAAATGTAATATAAAATCATTCCCTAGGTATTTTTTGATATTGACGTGTTAATCAGGTCGGGCAAGTAAAATTCTCTTTCACTTGGCCCTTCAAAAAAGCCACTTGTCCCGAACAAGCGGACAAGCGTTAATGTTGAGCACCTCATGTGTGTTATATATTTGTATGTTTATTATGTGTCATTAGTTTACCAACATGCTAACAGACAAACTCAACTGAAATCAATTGCGAGTTGAGAGTCCTGTGAACTTTGCGGGAGAAATGCTGTTTGGATGACACACATTTTAAATCCATTTTATGCAGCTTTACTAAGCAAGGGAGCTCACTAGATTTTGTGACATAACCCAGGTGTCCAAAACTACAAGCATGTGAACTCTGACCTGGTGAAGCCCGCCAACGTCCCAAACCCCACAATTCCTGTCAGGCCGTAAAAGCAGAGCAAGATGGCGCCAATGATGACATCAGCTCGCAGGACGTACGACTGCCAAATGACAAAATAGAGCGCCAGCAGCACTGTGGCCCCGGTGGCGATCAGATTCGAACCCGTGTAGCCCTCGCTCTCCTGTAGGTTTCCCCTGAACCCTGAGGAAAAGAGATTGACAATGAGGCCAATGAAAATGTTTAACTAAAATATGTTTTTTTTTACTAAACAAAAATAAGATCTCACCCCAGTACACCCTCAGGACCTCGAGACCGGCCATAAGAAACAGCAGACACACGTCTAGAGCGAGTCGGCCAACAGGGTAACTCAACACATGAGCTGTCACACGGCATAAAAACCACAAGATATACATGCATTTTCATATCTTGATTTTTGCACAAATCTCCTAAACAAGACAAATGATTTGAAGTATCATGCTTGTCTGTAGCACAAACAGAGCAGGAAGAGTTAAAATGTACAATAAAATGTAGCCTAATACTTATGGTTAGGTCAAATTCATAATAGTACAAGTGATGCTTGACTAAGCAAAAACAACTACCCACAAAAAAAAACAAAAAAAAATTTAAAGGACATTGATAAGTAGTACTCACTCTTGTAGATGATCATAGAGAGGGTGGACAGAAAGTAAAACACACTGAAAGCTGCTGAGAGATACAGCAGGATCTGGAGCAGCACAGATGAGAGCTGGTGTTGATTAAGGCTTCAAACATGCAAAAGTATTCTTATGAATAACATATGAGTATATGAATATGGTAATTAAACATGAGGCTACTATGTTAAATCGAATTATTCATTCGTTTTTATGAATTTGAATTGAGTTGGCAAACAGGATGAAGAAATGCCATTTAAATTTGAATTTAAGGAAGTAAAATTAATATTAATTGAAATGAAAAGTAGTTCATATAACTGTTTTATATGCTCTCTCTCTCTCTCTCTCTCTCTATATATATATATATATATATATATAGAGATAGAGAGAGAGAGAGAGAGAGAGAGAGAGAGAGAGAGAGAGAGAGAGAGAGAGAGAGAGAGAGAGAGAGAGAGTTTAAAAGACTAAAGTTTGAAAGTTTATGGTCCTCATAGACAGTCAGACAGACAGACAGACAGACAGACAGACAGACAGACAGACAGATAGATAGATAGATAGATAGATAGATAGATAGATAGATAGATAGATAGATAGATAGATAGATAGATAGATAGATAATTCTTCATTATTCATTAAGTTCAATAATGCTTTGTTCTGCTTATTATTTCTATCTTCCCTCTCACTTTTCCATCCATCCATTAATTTATTACTGTTCAGGGACTGTTATTACGTGAATATTCACAAAGGATACAACACTGTTGGTTTTGCCTAAAGGGAAAAGCACAAATACATTTGACATCTTAAATAAAACAAGCTAAGAGAATGAAATGCATGAAATAGTAAACATTTCTGGCACTTTCAGAGTTCCATATTAAACTACATTTCGCTGTTCCATACAGCACAGCACAACCTCGACAGTTTGAAACCATTAAAAATATTACAAAAACATAAAGCTTTCACTGTAATATGAGGAAAATTGCGTTTATTTTCACTGATAAAATCAGTATCTATGGCAACGGAGCGGGTTACCTGCACGTCCAATGATCGCCATCTTGATTCTCTCACTCTCTCCGGTTCGTTCGCCCAGTGTTCAGTCTTTGGCGCCTCCTAGTGAACAGGAGTGACGTCAACGCAGCACGTGATTACAGAACGGAATGCAATCATGCAATACAGGATTTTATTTAGAGGTTTTTAAAATTAATGCCAGGCAAATTTAAAACAAAATACATATATAACACAGCATACCAATGCACTTAAAACATTACTTTAAAAAAAAAAGAACAAGAAAGCAAAGTTTTAACAGTGTAACCAATCATTTTGTTTATTTATAATTTTTTTATTATTTCATAAGACAGACTCAATCAATGTGGATAATATTTTTAATCAATCGAAACGATGCTGTAATTGGGTTTTGATTTTAACTTTGGGCACAGACGTGAAAATGCATTATCCAAACTTAAATGGTTGTAATTCATTAAGGCTGTGGAATACAGACCTAATTTTGGTCTCATTTTAAAGAAAACACTCAGCTGAAGTGAAAGCACTTCAAAAAATTAAAGTGTTTGAGTTCAAGTTTAAGTTTACTGTAAAGCAAATGTACTGTACTAAACATTTTGTATTTTACACAAATGTAAATATTATACAAAATATTTTTATTTTTTGGTCATTTTAAACCAAATTTGAAGTTGATATCACAACATTTTTTAATTGGAATGGAAAAAAGCAATAAAAAAGAGCGCCAAGCGTCCGGCTAGTGGGACACGGACAATTAAGGGGTTAAAATGCTTTCATAAATGAATTTAAAGATTTGCACTGCATGCTTGACACCCAACTGAAGTTACATGAAATTACATTTTCTTAATACTGTACACATATGGAAACATAAGGGTTTTATCTTAGGAGCCGTTTACATAAAATATCTACTGAAAGTAACCACACACACAAATACAAATTCACATGCACATTTATGTAAGCACAAACACAAACACACACTTCGTAATTTACTGGAATGTATGATAAGACACATTAGTCAGTAGTGAAAAAACACACCTGCTGAAAGAGAGAGAGAGGGCAAATTTTAACACCACCCCATTTTTTGTGTGAAATATGATCTTTTTTTCTTTTCTTTTTTGGGCAGGTTAGGGATGGTAGCCATAGGAGTTTTATTTTACTACTAACTTATTTTAGCAGCACAGGGTTCTCAAACAACAGTGTCTGTACAGTCATCATTTGGTTATAGATTACTGAATGACATGGTCTCAATGACTCCAAATCAACAATAGCAGTATACAGCCAGAATAAGACATGCTGTAACTTCACATGCACACACTCCTAAACACACACCCACACACACACATTCATTGTGGTGGACTACCAGGACAGGGTCACATGTGTGCGGCCACACATATACAGCTACGCTCACATTTAGACGAAGTGCATTAACACAGCCAGATGTTTCTTTGTCTCTGCAGCCTCAAGCTCTCTTTTTCTCGCCTGCGTCCTCCCAAACAATCCACGCAGTGTGTCGTGGGAAGAACGGGCGTGTTGTTCAGGTCAAACAGAGGAAAAAGAAGGGTGAGAGAAAGAGAGAGAGAGAAAGATGCTCCAGCTGTGAGTAAAAACAACAAAACTGCATTTGATTGGGAGGGGGGTGTGATGGACACAGGGTCATTGTTCGTAAAGAGGTCGCGGATAAAGAGACGAGAGAAACAGATCACTCAGCTCAGTGATAAATGATGGCGTTACACCTCATTCATTCACAATCCCTCAACCAACACAACACAACCGATGTGATGCTACAATATTTGTAAGATTAAACCATGAAAACTATAGGCATATATGAGAAGATATGAAATAAGTGAAAGAAATATGATTACCATATTCATGTGCCATGATATTATCATCATACTGTTCAAAATCATATAGGTTTTGTATGTGCACTTCATGAAAAGTATCTAAATGTGTAATAAAATATGTAAAACAAACAGCTATATAAAAGCTGTAAAAATTGTATGATCAATAAGTGATGACAACATATGTTTTTACATTACTTTAACTCATCAAAATAAGTTAAGCAATTTTCAACTTTTTTTGTAAGATTCAACTCATTTTTAAAGTCAGTTTAATCTTATTTAAGTTGAAATGACTTAAACATCCAAGTTGATTGTACTTAAAAAATTCAAAGCAGCAATGTTTACAGTGTATCAGATGGTAAAATGAATGCAGGTTTGATATATGGTTGCCATGGTACTAAATGATACACTCAAAAGTTGAAAATACAGTATTCTTGAAAGTAGCCTTCTTCTGAGTAGTGTAAATGATAAATGATAAATGATAAAATTTGTAAAAGATATTATAAGTTGCCTATACCTAAAATCACTCATTTACATATTGTAAACATTGCAAAAACGGTCAGTTATGCCTATGTGATGATGCTATTATGTCTGTTTATGTGTCTGTTTAGTTAACTGTCTTTAGGCTGTATGTCTCGTTTGTGTTTTGGATTTGTCTTTTGCAGTAGCATATATCAATTGCAGAGGTTTATTTTAATAGAAAACCTGCCTCTGTAGTTGGCCCGAAAAGTCACTTTCACATGTAAAACAGCAAACTGCAATGGAAATCCTTGTTAAAACTATATGTTCAGGGGCATTTGTCTTTGCCCAAGCGCTCGCCCGTGGAGCGCGCGCGCGCACAGCGCAAGACGAGCGAGAGCGCGCAGAGAAGGACGTTCAGCGCGTACCACTGAAACCGGCTCGAGCGCAGGTTGGTGCGCGCAAAACCCTCTCACAGGATAATATTTCATCGAATAAAAATACTTTCCAACTTCAAATTACCATTTTTTATTAAATAAGTCCGTAATGACGTATCGCAGTAACAAATAAACGATATCATCTGGGAGAAAAACTGGAATATGCCTCCACCTGACATTCAAAGGTAAAATCTCCTCAGAAAAAGGATTTTTTTTTTTTTTTTACTTAGCCTACGAAAGGAACTGAAACTGTTTTTAAATAACATTCATTAATTATCCAGAGGAGATATTGATAGTGAATTCGTTTGAGGAAGTTCCGAGGCGTGTTGTTATTTAAAGATAATTGTGCGTCAAGTTGCTGAACAGGGATGATGAGAGTTTGAAGTGCACGCGACTCCCGCCGCTCCCGCGAGCCGGAGGATCGTCCGTTCACGTTCATGGAGTTTATAAGCGGGAGCCGCTAGAATGGATGCAGTGATTGATGAAACGGAGGCCTTACAGAGATTCTTCGAGGGTAAGACAGTTCATTGACCTGTTGATATGACAGTTCAAAAGTAGTTCAAAATGATGTTGCTTGTCAGATCACTATTTCTTCCCTAATGCAGTGATGGATCAGATGGTAATACCCGCATGGTAGCCTACTCTTATTTACACCATTACCATCACGTTTTTTCCCCCCAGGTAACATGCAAACTTAAAGTCTGATTTAATAGCGTATGTCCGAGTCAACCTGACTGCTGCATTGATTAGTTACACCAGTGAAAGTCATTTTAAGGGTCAGAACAAGCAATAATAATAAAAACATGGTATTGCCATGTTCAAGAACCTGCTATTGTCTATGTTCAACAAACATTGATGATGTTTTATGCTTATGTATGCTGGAGATGCACCTGAAGTGATTCAGAAAGAAATCACTCTTGTTAGTGATGATTGTTGTTGAATGTTCTACACTGATCTATTTCAAAGTAACATATTGTTTGTCATTTTTCACTGATAATGTTTTTGACATGTTTCAGACATTATTGTGTGTGATTTAAGGAGGATTACATTTGTCAAGAGACATAAAAAGCCACTGATGAGCCATCCCAGGGAGGAATGTTTGGGAAGGGCAGAAAGGTGGAGAGGATTGAAGAGAGAGATGATGTACGGATGCAGGGAGCGAAGGATGAAATCCAGAGGAGAGAGGAGGAGGGGTTTGAGGAGAAACACTGGGAAGGACAGAGGAATGTGATAAATGGTGTGTTTGTAATGGTTAAGGCAGAGACAACGAGAATAAGAGAACTAAAGAGATAGATGGATTAATGAATAGATAGTTGCGGCTGTTTAGCAAAAAAAATAATATGAAAACAAAAGAATGAATCAGATGTGATATCTTCTGATTTCTCCCTGTCGTGCCATCGGTCAAAATAAGAATGAATATAAGAAATTATGTTTTGCTTAAAGAAAATGAAGATTGTTTTCATGACAGTTTAATACATATTAAGCACAATTTCTGACGATAATGCAAAAACAACAACAACAACAACTCATAATTAATATAATGTAAGAAACTAAAAATATTATTTAAACGATAAAATATATATATCATGTAGTATTTGTCTGAGTTAAACATTAACATATTTTATTACAGTATTTCTTGTATTAGTATTATTTTAAATGACAATTATGAGAATCAACTTTGCGAATAATTAGAATTACAAAAAAATATATAAATGCATTGCGGGAAGGACAATTTGGGGAGAAAATGTGCTAAGCTGTCATGAAAACAATGTAAAATCTGTGATGGTCCTAAAACAAAGATTTAATTTATAACTTCACATGTAATCTCTTACTTTTTTGACATTTTCATTTTCGGTTAAAATGTGACCTGGATATATTTTTTCTTGTGTTATTCAGTCTTTTAGTGCTTTCTGCAGTTTTTCTTCACTCTTTTCTTATCGTAATGGTTTTTTTTCTTCAGAAAGCTTTTAACTTCATTTGTCCCCTCAGAGTGGTCATGTTCGTTTTCTGTCATTCTCTGACAGATAAAAGCCGTCATTTTTTACGGCGAGTTCGAAGCCGAACTATTTATTTTGGAGGGATTTTCCAACCATAATTTGTGGCACATCTTTAGGCGTGAGTGCGTGTTCTCAGAGCAGGTGTAACGGTTTGTATATATGACAGTGTTTCACTGTAAACACTGTTGACTTCTTTGGGCTCTGGAGTTCATGGCCGTCAAGAACTGCTCTTTAACGAGAATTTCACATGTTTACATTCTTCATTTGGGGAGTAAGGCAGAAAATGCTGGAGATGTTCAGACAGCC